ACACACACACACACACACACACACACACACACACACGCACGCACACACACACACACACACATGCAATTAAAAGTGTCTGTTGATTATGTGATAGGGGATTATTATTATTATTATTTTTCTTTTTAATATTTTCAAATTTTCCTCAATGGCTATGTATCTTTATTACAATAAGAAAAAATGAATTATCAGACTGAGGAAGATTTATTTTTAATAGCAAAAAAAAGACACCTCAAAATAACCCAATTGGCTTTCAACATGTGAATGGGTAAACTGTGGTACATCCATACAATGGAAAAGTCACAGAATAAAATAAGGAAAAGACTACAGACTCATGCAATAACTTGAATAAATCCCAGGGGCTTTATGTCGACTAAAAGAAATCCAGTGTCAAAAGTTTATAGGCTTTTTACTATAACATTCTTGAAATGACAAATTACAGTCATAAAGGACAGGAGTATTGTGAGGCCTCCAAGCACCAGAAGGGATGTGGGTGAAATGCCCTTCCAGGGCCCTCCAACAGCGCCTGCTGCAGTGGCAGGAGGTGGGACGAGGTAACTGAATCCAGGTCACAGTGGAGGTGCTGGCTTTGATCACAGTGCTTACTTTTATTGTGTACTAAGTACTGGAAGTCAGGAAACTGCCCTTCAGACCCTGACTAATCCTGGAACTAGGCTGGGAGCGGGTGGGCAGCTGGGTGGGAGGTCAATCCAACAGGTAAGCCACGAATCTCTGTGCTGCGCAGCTATAGGACCTTCCTGCTCTGCACAGTCTCCAGCAGGCCTTTCCACCACGAGGTGCTGCTCTCCACACATCTCAGCCTGATGGCCCACTCTGCACTCTGCTCCATGGTGAAGGCCACTGTGTGCATCTGTCTGGACTTTAGGCTCCACTGCCTTCCCTCTGGCAGCCCCACCAGAAATCCACCTCACCCCAAGAGGTTGCAGAGACCACTGCCTCTCTAACTGGGAGGAAGACTGCACCCCCCACCCACCCCACCCCCTTTCCTGTAGCCTAGACTGCAATCCCAGCTCTGCCACTTCCCTGGCTGTGTGACTTTGGCCAAGGTCATAGCTCCAGTTTCCTCTTCCTCTTCCGTGAAAGAGATATCATGGCCTTGGCTGTGGAGTGCTGTGCCCTCAGCTGGTCCACACTTAAGAGTGCATGGCACACAGCTCCCATGACAGCTTGTTTAGATGGGGCCTTCATTCCCTCCAGGGTGACTGTTCAAATGATCTTTTTGCCTTAGGAAGCAGTGTTCTTGGGCAGACCTATCTGGGAGCCTGAGCTGTGTTATCAAAAGGCTTAGTTTTGATTCATGAATATGAGTTTACACAAACCCCATATTCTGGCTGAACCTCAGTTTTTATGTCTATAAAAAAAGATTTTGAACACCATTCCCTTTCCCACAGGGATGCTTTGAGTCAAATAAAGGCAATGAATAGGAGTGTTGTTGTCCTCAAAACAAAGACTACCAGGAATATACTTATAGTCAAAGTTGATTATATATACACATATGTATATATATATATTTTTAATTTTTAGTTTTCTTTTTCCTACCTGTTGCAGCAGGAATATTAAGCACAATATTGTAACATAAAACTTCTCAGTAACAGGTTGCCAGAGGAGAGTTTTAGGGATTTGATTTTATGTTAGGTGATTTGGGGAAAAGATTTAAGAAACTGGAGTCCATTCTGCATAGGGTGCCAGCAAGAGGATGGGCAATTCTATGATTATCTTAATAAGTTTTTTCTAAGAGATGAGCGGAATGGAGCAAAGCAAAGCTGTATTTTGTAAAGGAGTGGCAGCTGTTTGTGGTAAGCAGAAAAGGGGCATGTTTTTCATTTTTGTGGTTTATAACAACCTTTTTGTCTGTGTGTAGACAAGATTTTGGAAGGACTTTGTGTCTCTTCACAGTGTAATTTTGTTTCAAGTTGCTGTTCTGTGTGGAACTGCTCATGGTCAGCAGGGAATACCAGGGTCTGGCTGCGAGAAAGCTAACAGCTTTCTTTTTGTCGGCAGCGTCCTTTGTAACTCTAATGTCTTTCCTTCCCACACTTTCCATCCTGCAGTGTCCTCTGTTTCCACTCATTCTATATTGTCTTTGCTTGTTTTTGCTCGTAAAGTTTTTGAGGATCTAAAAATGTTATGGGCCTTCTTTTTAACAAAGACACACACACATTCCCAAAGCATCATGCAAGGCATACCAGGGCACTCATAGGCCTCTATGGCCATGGGTGGGGAGGTAAGAGTGTGCTATGTCCACTCACATCATGGAGATCACACTTGCCCTTGAGAATCACTTTTGATTCCTGTGATCAGCTGCTTGGTACGAGCTTGGGTTCAACAAGGAACAGGATGACTCCTTCAGAGGAAACAAATCATGAATGCCCCCAAGGAGCATCCAATGTCATAAGACAGCTTCCTGGTGCCCTCCTTGCTCCTTTGTATCTTCTTGGGACCAGACACACAGAAAGCTTAGCTGTTGCAATAATGGATTAATTGCATCATTAATTGCCTAAAATCCCACACAGTACACTTGGACCAAAAGTCACCCTCTATGTATCCAGATGCGTGTATGTGTATGTAGTTGTGCACACGGACAGGGGGTGGGTGTATCTGACTGTGAATGTACACCTTTTCTTAAATTCTGTGTCCCCAACTGCGATTAAATGAATGCACCTGTGCTCTGGAGCCAATCAGGAAACAGACATCACACAGTGATCTATGGAGGGGTGGGGAACCTGGGGCCTTGGGGCCACATGTGGCCTTCTGGATCCTTGAGTGCAGATTTTTACTGAATCCAAACTTTACGGAACAAATCCTTTTATTAAAAGGGATGCAGCAGAGAAAGATGAAGCTTTTCTTGCCTCCTTTGTGCTTCTTA